AATACTTAGGACACAGGGTTTCTGCTTGAAGAAGCTGTATCATTTAAACACGTACATGAATTAATTACTTTCGATATTTGGTTATTCCAATTTGAGTTTTCATGTTCACTGCTGTACTCGCTGAGCCTAGCACAGTACCAGGCACACAGTAGTGCCTTATAAGTGTTTGTTGAATTTGTGGGTATGGAATGAATTCTGGAGATTTTAAAACGGAAAAGTAACTGGATTTGGGTTTGAAATAATTGTAACTTTATATGTGGTATGTCCACTTTAAAAAATGCTTTAAATATTTTTATTATGCTTTAAATTTTTTTTAATGAATACATTTAAAAAATAAACTGTGGTCTTTAGGAAGCTAAGTGTTTAAGGATTGGAAATGAGAAAATATTCATTGTTTTAAATGCATGCTTGGTAATGCTCATAAGGTCATTGAAAACTTGTGCCTGCTTGTTCTTTTGTGAGTGATGGGAGCTAATGGTTAGCCCCAGTCACTCTTGGGGTTTGAGCCTCAGTCAGTTGCTCACTAACTCTGTGACCTGGGGTCACTTATTCCCCCCGTTTTTCTCTGCTTCCTCATCCTTTAGTCTGTAGAGTAGGCAGGCATACTAATTTGGCAGACCCCACAGAATTGTTTTGAGGAATAAACAAGTTACTATGAATAAAGTACCTAACAAGTGCTTGTTAAGTTAAAACAGACCTATGAAATGCACCTAATTAATAGTACCTACCTCAGATGATGGTTGTGAAAAGTAAATGAGTATCTGTAAAACTCCTAACACAATGCCTTGATACCTGATGAATGCTCAATTTTTATTATTTTAATAAAGGAGCCATTAAGATTATATCTATCTTCAAAGGTTTTAAAAATAAGTGCACAGGGACGGCCAGTTAGCTCAGGTGGTTAGAGTGCAGTGCGCATAACGCCAAGGTTGCCTGTTTGATTCCCACACGGGCCAAGGAGCTGCGCCCTCCACAACTAGATTGAAGACAACTACTTGGAGCTGATGGGTCCTGGAAAAACACTGTTCCCCAATTAAAAAAAAAAAGTGCACATAAAGCAAGAGAACAACTGAGTGATACGCTGTGACAGGAGTTGTAACTGATCCCAGACTTCAGAGAAAAGGAGTGTGAAGGAAGGATCCCTCATGAGGGGAGGCTCTGTGGCCCCGAGACTGTGGGGAGGAGGCCAGGAGAGACTGGCGTGGGGGGAGTGAGGCGTGACTAGTAGGGTGGTGCCATGCACCGGTGGCCATGGCAAACGGGAGTTGTGCGGCTGGCAGGGTGCCCGCTTCGAGGGTTGGGGTAGGGGGGTGTTGGGCAGCATGGTATCCAGGGTGCCCGTTTTCTTCTCGTTTGGGGCTGCCCTGGTGGAGAATGCCTCATGTGCTCTGTGTACATGCTTTCCTGTGCCTGCTTGCAGAGGGCCCCTTTTGTTCCTGTGTGCTGGCCTTTGGCCCGGGACTTTACTACTCAGCTTTCATAACACTTTCTTGAAACCGCATTTCTCCTATAGAATGACTGCCCCACCGAAAAGTTTTCCTGAAAGGAAATGAGAAGGGAGGAACAATGTTCTGCTCCCGTACGTCCTTAGCAGGCATTTGATGGCCAGTTGTCTAGAGCGTGAGCTCTCCTTGTGCCCTGCTTCCTCTCTCCTATTTTCTTTGGAATAGAGTAAGTTGTCATTTAACAAATAACAATGATAGTGGGCCGGATCCTATCAGTGGTCCAAGGTCACTAAAATACTGTCAGTATATAAATTCTTCCTGAGTTGCCAGGCTTCATATAAGAGGCACCTCAAGTCTCTAGAGGGTATACAGTTTGTTCTCAGGGCTTTTAACCTCAGTCTGGCTTTCCAAAGGCTTAGCATATTATCCACTAGTTTTCAGTCTTCCTCAGGCTGTGATCTTGCTATTTTTCCATTTCAGCTTTGGAACAACCACTGAGTCAAGGAATACCACTTTGATGACCTGTAATCTATACTCACAGTTTTGTATAAAGAAATAACCATAGAAGAGTTGGTCATTTTGAATATATCTACGTGCATGAACGTAGTCATAGAGCATACTGCCCTGGCTGCTGGATCTGCTGCTTCACATGGGAATCTTACACATGAAACTCTATAAGCATTATATATACATCTAAGAGATTATCTCTGGAAAATTAAGAAATCCCTTTCCAAAAGGCTGTAATAGTTTTAAAGAGTGAATAAAGAGAAGAGAGAGAGAAAATCGACAACTTGGTATAGTTGAATTCAGTACGTGCAAATAGCAGCACAGTAGAATGATATTTAGAAAAGATTTTAAAAGAATTTAGATAAGGCTCTTTTTAGATATTCTTCTTTTGGCCCTCAGAAGATTAAAGAAAGCTCAGAGGGAGGTTATTGGATTTCGAGTTGTTTGACATTTGAGCAGACTTACTAATTAAACCTTCTGACACCTTCAAATGAATCCTGACAGCTCATTGGCCAATAGCTATATAAATGAAGTGGGTCAGAAGGTGCTGTCTTAGTTGTATTAACTCATTTAAACCTCACCACATACTTGTGTGGTCAGTATTATCCCAATTTTATAAATAAGGAAATAAAGGCTCAGAGAATAAGGATGAGTGAGTTGCCCAAATCCTCTGACCCATGGGAACAATGCTTGGACTCAAACCCTCCCTAACTCCTCATTCTCTTTTTTTGTTTGTAGTAATGGTCATGGGACAGTCTGTTGCCTTGTCTATCCTTTAGTCCCAGAGTGGTCATGAGCTTTCAAAATTGATTCAGCACTAATTCTTTAACCTACATCCAAATTATGAAAACTGAACTTGTCAAATTTACTTTTTTCAAAGAACCACCCAACATCTTACATTAACGTTTCATAAAAAGTATTTTGTGACCACGAAAGTTGGGGAAATACAGAACTTGAAACCATAGTTGACCTGATTTATTTGGTACAGGACTTCTTTGGGTGTTCAGTATACAGATGTGAACTGTGAATCTCTAAGGGGGGAATTACAGGTATGGCTTCACAAGCTGTTTATTTATTCATGTATGTATTCATCCTCTTATATTGGTAGAATACCTCAAAGTATTTGTTTTCTATGAAACTACACAGTTTAATAGTGTTTCTTCTTGGGCAAATCACTTTACCTCTTTGGGCCTAATTTTCTGTTTTACAGATGGGACTAAAGATATTCCAGAAGTCCCTTTAGCTTTTAAAATTCTATGACATAGCTCCCTTCTCCCCACCAAGTCTAGCCATTTTTGCTACCAAATGAATTTGCTAAGGATAGACTAAGATTTTCCAAAACCCATTCATTCATTCATTCATTCATTCATTCATTCATTCATGAAACATTTATTGATTGCCATGCACTATGCCACGTTCTGAGGATAAAAAGACAAGATGCAAATAAGAAAAATGATACACAAATGATAGACAAATGATACAATACACATATATAGTAAGATGGCATACACATGAATGGTGATACAGTGTTGGAAGAGAGCAGCAGAAATATGCAGAGATAATACAGACACATGGGAATTGATGATTATAAAACTTATTAAGATAGAATAGAAGCATTTATAAAAAATAAAGACTCATGGAAGACCTGCCTCCTCTTTGCAGGAGACAAGTTAGACTTTCTGGAAGGTGAACACTGGATCTGGGTCTTAAGGGATGGGTAGGCACTAGGTGAAGGGCAGGTACTCCAGGCAAAGGGGCCACAGAAAAGCATAGGGGTTGAAGCAGCATAGCATGTGTGCAGTGATCTCTGAGGGCTGGGCGATTGCTAGAATGCAAAGTTTAAGGCAGGGGAGGGCGAGCACAGAGTTGTAGGCATGGGCAGGACCAGTTGTTGAGGGCCTTCTCCGTCAGACTCTTGAACTTGGTCCTGTGATAAAGAGCCAGTGGAACACTTGAAAAAGGGAACTGACATGTTCCCAGCTGCCTTTTACACAGCTGTGTGGAAAATAGACACAAGAGAAAAGAGGGCTAGGGAGACCAGTGAGGATCTACTACAGATGTTCACGGGGTAGGGAGTGGGCCCCTGAACCAAGAGAATGATGGGAGGAAAGGATGGATTTGAGGACTATTTAGGACTAGTAGGTATAACCTACTCAGCGGTGACTGGTTAGAGGAGCAGGCAAAGAAGTAGGTCATCCCCCTCCAGTCTGGGTGATGATGCATGATGTCAGCACAGGAGGAGCTGCTGCTTTGTGGGGGAAAACAACAGGATGCGACCTGCTCAGTGTAAGGTCTTTCGGAGGTGTCTGGAGATATCTTAAAATTGGAGATGTTATACCCAACCCTTTCTGTGCATCACATTCAAATGGAGAATTAATTTTGAGCAGAGGACTCACATTTAAGGACCGCTTCGTACTGCCAGTTATTTGATTTAGGTTGTTGGGGTGTTGCAGGTAAATGGCCATTTTATTTTTAACAAATGTAATTATTAATCAAAATCATAAATAATGTCATTTTAAACATTTAACCACAGAATTATGAGGTATCGTGTTTATACTTACTGATTTTAGGTCTGGTTGTTTTAAAAAATATTTTTTTGTTGAAGGAAAATGAACACAGGACCCGTAGTTTTGATTTTTGTAAACCAGTATTATAAAATATCACTTAAAATATTATTTTTGCCAAATCATTAAAATCGATGAATTTAGAAGATTATAAATCTCCGAACTTTGTCTGTGCCAAGTGCTCCTCACTTGGCTTGTTGTCATGCTGAACTAAAACCTGTCCTCAGTGGCTCGTATCATTTCTTTGTGAAGCCACGTTTAAAGCAGATTCCACACGGACCTTTCTAGAGTTAGGAATATGGTCTGCATAAGACCTGGCGCAAATAGTCCTCATTTGAAGTTGACATAAACATGAACCAGAGCCCAGGCTCTGATGGGGTTTTGCAGCCCCATCTGCACGTGGTTTTGGGTGTACTGGATGGAGGTGGAAGGTGAAGGGAAGGGGGTGATGAGGCAGAGTAAACACAAGGAAAACATCTCTTACCGGGCTCTTGTTGGATTTTGTGGTTGTTTTTGAACCAGGTGATCTGAGGCTCAGGGACACCGCTAGCTTGACAGTCTAGCGTGGTGGAGCTGCTGACAGCGACTGTATAATCACTGAGGTTGCGCAGGAGGTATGGTGCTTCCTGATCTAGTGAGTAAAGAAAGAGAATTGTTATTACTCATTCGTTTTATTTTTTTGTGTACACATATCAACATTTGAAATACATAGACAAACAGCAAAACTCAACTGTATGGTTTCATTCATAGTTGCCTTAAATTTCTCTTCTATGATTAACTTACTGCTTCCTCTTTATTAAGTTGGTATAATAAATTGAAATTCATTCGAACACAGAGAAAATCAACAACTAAATCCTGTATTTTTAGATTTCAATAGCAAGGCGTTTACCTGGTCAACTAGTTTTCTTTCTTTTTTTGAGAGCTTTTCTAAAACCTAAGGATTTTGCATAATATTTTAGGAACTGGAAAGGAAAACATGATTTTGGATATAGGTTTGTAATGACTTTTTACATAAATATATAGCATAGTAGCAATGACTTAATACAATTTTGTATATATTTGTATTGATGTGTTTGTGAGGGCATGTGTGTTACTTGGCTGTCAGTAACCTAAATTGTAGGCAGCAGACCAAACAGAAGTTCTTGAACTTTGAAAGCTTTATTGATTTTTTTCCTTTCTCCATTCCCTTCCCAAATGCAAGCCACCAAAGGATGAATTCAAGAGGCAGAGGCACAGATTTGTGGTTTATGCACTATATGATAGTACAAATACTGTATTTTATATTATTTTCTCTTAAAACATACAAATATGATACAATACAATTTATTTTAATAAAATGCCAACCAATATAGTACAACAAAATGAACTTAATACATTAGGATGCAATACATTACAACATTAAAATCCCACTCAGGAACAGCAGTACCCCCAAGGCCCCAGTGGGTACAGTGTCTAGTAACCAAGTAGACAGTCAGTCCTGCTGATGTGCATACATTCTAGGTAGGCGGGTGCTGGATGCGTAGCTCCAGCTGCCGAGGAAAAGAATAAAGGCAGCTCCTGACGCCTTTCCCACCCTCCCAAATCATCCATTTCCCCCCTCGTAGCAAATCCTGGAACAGAAATCAAGGGTTTTGGCATAACTTACACATTCTGCGTCACTGGTTTCAGTTACACAGTATGAGCTTTCTCTGACCATTTCTGATTTCCTCATCTTATTGTACTAAAACTGTGAAAGCAGCTTAGGAGGGATTACAACGCTATAAGAGATGACACACTGCCATGGCTGCGCTTCCATGTCCCTGCAGAATTCCGCCGGGTCCCCAAACCTTTCTCTTTTTATTCCTGCAGGAAAACTCTCAGGATTAGCATTCATCGAAGCAGTTTAGAAACCTCAGTTTAAGCAGTTTAAAAACCTCATGTAACTTATAATATGTTGGTATAGTATAACATGGCAGGGTGGCTATCTGTTGGAAGAAACAGCTTTCTCATTCAGTTCTGATTTCCATAGCTTATCGTTAGTCTTTTCTCATTTCATACAAAATGAACTCTGAAGGCAAACAAGAATGTTTGAGGAAGTAAGTGCTCTGATTTAGAAACTTAAAACACCGTGTGGGATGAATGATAGCAACGGTCCTTTTGTGGGTTTCAGTGTGTCTTTCCTGGTCTGTTTTGACCCCAGGCAGAACCATTTTAATATTTCTGTGTTTGCTTCTGTGAAATCTGCCAAATAGCCTTTCCTAATTGAAAATGCAGCCATCTATCAAAACCTTCCATTTTGATTAATTCTTACAGTGGCAAGCCAACTTGGACATATGTCATCTAAAACTCAGACCCGGTATACTGAGGTATACTTTTAATAGCTTCTCAGAGCACATTTACTATTGGGTTGTCGGAAAAGTCATGACGCAGTTTTGCAACTAAAAACATAGAAAAAGTATGTCACGACTTTTCTGACAACCCAATATTTCCCATGTGATAAAAGCGACAAACTAGTCCATCACTGCCCACAGGCCTTAGTGTACGGAAGTCTGAATACAGGTCTTACAACATCCAAATTGTTTTCATAGCTACAGGCTGTAACATCATCAACACGGGCAGGATTTGGCTTTCCTGGCAGGTGTATTGGAAAGCAATGCTTACATAAACGAGAACATTTTATTTTAACACGAATGGCATGAAGAACTCCCAAAAGCCCTACTGCCCTTCACAGACTTCAGACAAGAGAAGCAGCAGAAAGGCTGCAGAATAAACATAGGCCTCTCAATTAAATACAAAGGCCATATAAACAGTTCTGAAATACATGGTATTCTGATTTTTTTCCTTTATACCAATTTCTGAAAAAAATGTTCTATGAGAGAAGTCTCATTTTGGGCCAGTTTCTAAATCACCAATAAACCATGGAATCATTTTATCAATTCCCATTTTATAATATATTTTGACATGTTCAATACGATAGGTACACTGAACCCATATTTTTAAACCTGAGTTATTTGATAGCAATAGATAGCTGCTTTCCAAAAGTGGAGCTGATCCTTTCAAACTGAGAAAATCAGAAATAACAGAATATTTCTGCTGGTTATCAATAGCCAAAGATAGCTCCTACCAGTTTTTTTGACATTTCAGTGTTACGGCCCCAGGGATCTGCCGCGTCTCATACATAAATACAGTTTCCATTCTCCATGTGGAATGGGGTCTGAGGAACCAGCCTCATGCCCTCTACTCCATGTCACTCATTCTCCACACTAGGCTCTTTTGTCTTTCTTTTTTCCCATTATACCATACCCAAAAGAGAAACTAGTAAAAGAAAAAATTGTTTTCTTTTTGAAATTTTCTGGGAGGATTAATTACACAGTGAATAATTAATTACTCTACAGAATTCTTACAATCATCTCTGGGAAGTACTTAAAATCATCTCCTGTATATTTGAACACCCTTCCTTTCCCCCATGAAAATTGCAATTTTAAGGGGAAGGAAATGATAGATTCTGCATGTCCAATTCACCATGTTTTCAAAAGCACTTCCCAAGCCATTCCATTTGCTTTTTCAGCTTTCGTAAAAATTGAGGCTCTTAAGTTCTGTGGTCCTAAGGCATTGTTTCCTGAAGGAACACACTGACTTATAATGAACAAAGACGCCAGGCACAGGAGCCATAGGTAAAATTTCAAGATACAATTGATTATTCTTTCCTCTGGGCTGACAACTTCCAGGTTACTAATTGTTTTCAGAGCATTCGGGGCTCCATAAAACTGGCATTCTGGGGAAATGGTATTGTTTACTCTTTCACACTTGACAAAAGCAATTCCCACGTGAAAGACAAGTTTAGCGTGGGACAGAGTCTGTTACCTAAAGTAGGAAACAGTCTAGAGAGTTCCCAAGCCTGAAAAGTTGTCATATTGTCACCTCCTGTTGAACTGCCCAGTCACTTTGTTCTCAGCCATGGCTATTTTGGTCATTATAGTTTGTTTCCCAATAGTTCATGCAAGTCACATTTAATGATCAATCAATCATAAATGAAAACAACAGAATAGTGCATATTAAATAGGTGAAAAAGTCACTTTCCCCTCAAATGCAAGCTTAAAACAAGAGATTATAATCTCTCTTGATTTAAAAACAGTGTGTACTTCTCAGTGAGTCTGAATTCTGCTATTGTAGTTTTGCCAATTCTTAATCCCCATAAAAGAAAAATCCTATTAACATAAGCATACGGGGAAAGTGGACTTTTTTTTTTAGTGGACAAATTTTAGATTTACATTTGGAAGAATGAATTAAACGTCTGGTCATAATAGCCTTCATTTCCTTGATAACTGATTATGGTACACCTTTGAATGCCATCATTTAAACAGGATAAAATCCTTTAAAAGAATAGCCAGGGGACAAAAATACTTAAAACGAAGGCATGATCCGTTTTCTTTCAGGTGCTGTCAATAACTGTTTAGTCCACTCAGAAGCAGGGAGGAGGGACTGTCCACTGGACCGGTTTACTAGCTCCAGGAATTGCATGAGAGGAAGAAAGTGGGCTTGATTCAGGTGGATTTTCATGATTCATACTGTGATAAACTTTTAATACCTCTGAATTACACCATCTTGCACCCCTGGGGCCCATTTTAGAAGCTCCAGCTTATGATTAATGTGCTTAATGTAAAAAAAAAAAGCATTTTCAAATAAATAAGCATTATAACTTGCTATCCAGGTGCTATTTACAAATCAAGAGCAGATGAAATAGTACAAAATAAAACCAGGCAGAGGTCCGACAGAGTCTCAGATTCAACTGTACTCATTCTGAGCTGGAAAATTAACTTATTCATGTCCATCTTTGGCAGAAACCAGCATCTGTTTAAATTATTCAGTTTGTGCAGCTTCGAAACTTAAACATAAAAAGAGGTTGGCATCAAAGTGGAAGGAAGGGATCAGTTCCCAGCTGTTGTTTATCAGGCAGGAGAAGACAGCAAAGAGCAAAAGCACAGAGTGTGCCTGCAGGGATCCTCCAAATCCAAACGCGCACCAGGTCACCAGGTGGCCCCAGGGAGACCCTCAGCCTGATGGGGGCCCAGCGTGGGCCTGGGGCTCATTATTACTCCCATCATCTCCAAACTCAGTTTTGGGAGGAGCATCTCCTCTGAGCCAGAAAGTTAGCAACAGTGACAATAAATCAAGATGATATGAGACAACTGTTACTTTTGAATGAGTCCTTTAATGTTTTACATTACTTTGTGTGGTACAATCACTCCGTGTGCCTTTAAATTTGGAGATCCGAGAGAAAACAGCCTTTTTGTTGCAGTGCTCACCTCTGATTATAACTTCTTTCTTCTGAAGGATTTCTTCCCCTGTGTATATGTTCCTGGCTCTGCAGGCGTAGGTGCCTGAAGCTTCCAGGGAAACATTCTTGATGACAAGGTCAAGACTAAGGGAATACTCCTTAATGACGGCCATGTTTTGCTTCCTAGTACTGTGGCGCATGGTTCGGTTATTGACTGTCCGCAGCAGAATCCAAGCAATGTCTTTGTATAAGAATTTGTTAACTGTGCAAGACAGTTTCAGGTCCTCTCCTTCCGTAGGCATTTTTTCCAAGTTAATATGGAATCCATTTGGCACATCTACAAAATAAGAATAAAGAACTTCAGTTCACAGAAAAACCAACGTGTCATACAAACAGAAGCAATATCTGTTAGGTTGTTGGAAAAGTCATGACGTACTTTTTTCTATGTTTTTCTTTGCAAAAATGCATCATGACTTTTCCGACAAACCAATATTTCATCATGAGCTAGTCAGGAGATCTGAAGAACTGTTCCTCTGCAAATTCTCTCAGCAGCAGCATTGAAAGAATGACTATTCATATTTTCATTTTAGGGAAACTGATCAAACATAGCAGGTAGGAACCAACCAGGTCCATTCCATTAGAAGCAGGAAATGCCAAACAGGGCAGTTAGTATGATGGCACATTTTCCTTATTTGTCCCAAATTGCTCTGCAAAGTGGATTTTTTTTTCTTTGTTTACAACTTAGGATGATAACCATGTTTCCCATTTCTTCATCATGTATAGAACTGCTACTGGTAAATGGGCAAAATAGTGAAATAATAAGAGCAATTTGTACTAAAAAACAAAGTGCTTCTGTAATCAAACTTATCCAAATTAAGCTGTGAACACGTGAGCTGGAAGCCCCAGGTACATGTTAGGGTCTTTGGCCATGCCAGTCAACACCACTTTCATCCTAAACTTCTTCAGGAAAAACAGCTCATTTCCCAAGTTCCCTATAGTCAGATTGATCACATCCTCCTTCTCCTGCTGTCCCACTGCTTCCCCTGCTCTCTGTGGGCATTGCAGGCAGAGTGGGCACAGGGGGAAGAGTGGGCACAACGGGCAGAGAAGGCACAGTGCGCAGAGAAGATCCAGCTTACTTGCTCAGGTCACCTTTTATGGTGATAGTTCTACTTAGACATAAAAGAGCAAAGATTCTTCTGCAAATGCAGACAACTAATCTAGAAGAGTTGTCAGATTCTAACGTGAGGGCAGTGGGGGTGGGGGCGGGGAGAGAATACGTTTAAAATCAAATTTCCTCTCAAAAGCTTATTAAACACTTTCTGAAAGTGACTGTGATGAAAAGCCCTTCTCCAGTGTCCTTTCCCAGCTAACCTCTGGCTCCATCTCCTAAGTGCCTTGGGCAGCGCCTCTGGAGTGCTCCTCCTTGACTTTCGTAGCCTGCACCGCCTTCCAGCATCTGCACCAAGTTCCCGGGTCTCGCTTTGGACCATTTCACCAGGGGATTTGTAAAAAGCACCTGGCTCCTGGCCCTGAACTGACCTGCTCTCAAAACCTTCGCATTGCTTGTTACTAGTGGCGTATCTGTATTTGAGCAAAGAATTTGGGCCAACATTTTACAAAGTACTTTGAAGATGAAAAGCGCTATGTTATGCTATTATTATTATTATTATTATTATTATTATCCTTTGCGCACAAAGCTATAAAGAAACCTTTAAACCTTAAAGGGACAATAGGCCAAAATTAGCTATCATATCAACTCTTTCCTAAATCTTACTTTGCTTGTTTTTCTGATTTTTCTGGGCTTTGGCTTTATTATAAAGTGTCACGTCTGAAGAAATGCCAAAGTATTCATCTGAAATCTGGGAGTGGGGGTGACGGTGGCTTATGAGGCTGTCAGTGGTTGCAGAGAAAGGGGACCCATGGAGGTTTTCCTGCTTTTAAAATGAAAACCTCAGAATGTGCCAGAAGACAGAAGCAGCTGACAGTCATTTTTAATATAACAATAAGGTGTCAGAAATAGCCCCTCTAATTCAGCACCTTTTTATATTTGGGACATTTTCCAAGCGTGAGGATTAGAACACCAGCCATCAACTTTTACACAGATACTGGAACAGAAGTATTGTGCACGGGTTGCAATCAAATCATTTCTTGAAAGACCACAGACTCCATTTACGAGGTCTCATCCTGGTATTAGAGCCCAAGGGAGCCCAAGTAACACCATGGAGATCATGTAGAGAGTTTCTATTTACTTTAGTGATTTGAAACTTCCTGTGGAAATAGCTCACAGGTTTCCTGATGGAAGATTTTGTTTATCTTTGCCAAGCACCACCAGGAATCTCAAAATAAAATGCATTTAGTGACATTGGGAAACCAGGGAGATAAGGCAGTGCTGTTCCTGTTTCACCCTCAGTAATTGCTAACACACCCACAGTCATGCTGAGTGCCAGCAAAACAGCAAAAACACACACATAGGAAAAGAACCAAATAGGTTGTGAGGCCTATTTCTCATACAGGGGACACTGGTACTGAAGCGAATTCGGTGTGTTATCAGATAGCCTCTTAGAAATGGTTTTCTCTTTCTCAGCATCACCCCCTTGGTATTCTCTTTTGATCCATGGAAGATGATAAATAAAATGTCCTAAACTAGTTAATGAATCCAGAGGGATTTTTCCCCTTAATTCATGTTGATTTTTTTTTAGCCTGAGTACAAAAACAGACCCAAGAGAGAATTGCCTTCTCACTCTCAAAGGGAAAACAAGAAGTCTTCCCACACTTAAGTATCTTTCAGATTCAGCACAAGCACCCTCAGCACCAATGAGCACTTATGCATCTGACACATCTCACCCCCACGGCAGCTTAGGGGGTGTCATGGGGAAGCAGCACCCCTAGTTCAGGAGGGACGTTCAGCCTAGGGGTAGGCGAAGGAGTCCTGTATTCACAAAGGAGTAGATATTTATGACTTGATCGGTCAAATGCGAATTGAGTTCATGAAAGAGACAAGCATGGAAATTAAAAGGATAAAAGGTCTCTCATTTGTCAGGTGGAAATAAAGAACGCTTCTGTTCTACTGAAGAATTAGAAGGAATGTTCTCTAAAAAGGAAGTCAGGGTTATTAGAAAGCTTTTTTCAAGTAGATCTTATGTACACATAATGGCCAAGTTCAGAGTCGAAGCAGTGAGGGTTCTAATGGCCACAGCTAGCCAGTGTTCATCAGTTTGAAAGGCAATTCTGAGTTATTACTGTGTCAAAGAAGGGGCAACATGATTGCAGTAAGGATCAATAAAGATCCAACTCTAGATCTAGATTTAAAGCAGTTAAGTTTTAAATAGATCTTTTAAAGCATTATCTATGCTAGGTCAAGTATAAACACTGAACAAATTATACATTCATTTTTCAGAAAATAGACACGTAGGGTACAATATTCCTAAGAGTATATAGTCTCATCTCTAGTGAGAGTAAGTATCATGACAAGGATTTGAGTAAGAAAAAGATACTAATTAGTTTAAAAATAATGTAAGCAAATGAATCTATTATCATGAGTCAAAACTAGAACTTGTCAGGACTGGTAGAAAGGAATTCAGAGATTATGTTCCAGGCAATGAGGGCTTGATTGGCTGAACTTGTACTCAGTTAGGATGAAAGCTCTCGCATTTCTAGAGGAAAAATGGGGGAGCTTCCAGAAGGTGTGCTTGAACGGAATTCTCATGGCTCCTTCCTGTGGACAAGCCTTGGGATCTAGAAAAGGATTCAAGCACTCCAGGCTATTAACTGTTTAAAGTGGTGGGATCTGGGAGGGCATTTGTCTGGTTTCAGCAGATGATCAGCTTTACCAGCTGGGCCCTTTCAGCAACACTACCATGCATAGATATATGACTCAGTGGTACCGACAGGCTCGGTGTTGGTGCTGCAGTTAATGCTGGACATCAATTACCCTTTCCTGGGGACCCTGGACAATAGGACATGAGCATTCCATTCTCCTCCTCTCCACATCCTCTTCCAGTACTGCCTCCAGACTCAGGCAAGAGGGGTGGGGTCTCTGTCCTGGAGCTGCAGATGGCTGTCTGGCTATACCCTTCCCCACAGTGTAAAGAGTCTGTGGGGCCAGGTGGGCATGACCACCCAGAACCTGTGCTACCCCACTTCTAGATCTTCCCTGAGGGTCCCTGGGATCCCAGAATCCCCGGTAAAGATAACCCCAAGTCTGTTTCTAGTCTCAAGTCTCTTTCCTCTTGACTAGGTGTGTCCTCCCGAGGTCTGACCTCTTGTCACTGAGCACACTTCTAGGTCCCAGGGAAGGGATCTGTGAGGGTGTGGACAGAGTTTGGATGTGTGGGCTGGAGAGACCATACACTTGGCTGCGTGGCCCCTCGCCATGTGGTACAGAGGAAAGAAGACGGTGACCAGGGTCAGCCCAGGCGCCTCCAGGCCCTGCCGCATTCTGCTATAGAACTCAGAATAGTCCCAGAATTCTAAGTTTGGACCTGACCTTTCAGGTCACCATGAAGGCGTATTTGTCCCCAGAGGCTGAAACATATGTAACCGCCTGTTCGCCTGATTTAGAGCTTGTAGGTGGTTAGCTGTATAGTTTGTGGGCCTCCATTGATACTCTGACCTTGGCTCTGAAAAAGTCAGGGCAAGACGGTCCTTTTCTTTCTACCAATTCAAGTTTTAACCGCCTCAGGACCACGTCAAGTCCTGCTTCCTTCTCAGATGCCTAGAGCCACACTGTACAGTACAGTACCCACCAGCCACATGTGGCAACTGAGCTGCAAACTGTGGCTAGGGGGACTGAAGAATGGAATTTTAGTCAAGTTTTTTATTTCAATTAATTTAAAAACTGAAGCAGTCTAATATTTAAAAAAATACTGATGGCATGCTGAAATGATAATATTTTGGATATACTGGGTTAAATAAAATTAATATACTTCTTTTCTTTTTACTTTTAAAAAATCTGGATACTAGAAAATTTTAAATTACATGTGTGGCTTCCATTATGTTTCTATTGGACAGCATGCGCTCACCATTGGGAAATTCGTCTGTCACATGAATTCCGCACATACCTTTTGATACTAGGATCTATATAATTTAACATTTACTCTTAGTTTGTGTGGTGTTGAAACTGTCTTCCTAGAAGCTTCCTAGAAGCGTCGCCGGTGTGCCTTCAAGTTCTCAGAATGGAGCTGTACTAACAGCTGGTGCTCGTTAAGCCTGCACAGGCTTGTTGACCACTCAGCAAAACAGGAATGGCTCAGTTCTGTATTCCAAATCATAATAGAGTGGTTCTATGGATTTGGATGGTAACTTGTTTTCAAGCAAGTATTCAGGACGATACAAACCTTTGTTCTTAGTCCAAATCTGAGAACCAGTCTATGTGAATTGCTCTCCGAAGCCTTCTCTAAATCCAGGGCTCTGCCTACTTGGAATGGACGCAGAGCTGATGGCCCTTCCTCTTGTCAGGCATAAGAGTACAGGGACTGCTCTGGTCTGCTATGTGCCTCTTCACCTCTCCAAACCCCACTGCGTCACCTGGGGATGTGGGGCTGTGATGCCTCTAATGTCTCTTCCGGCTCTCACACCGGAGGTTACTCAGGGTGCCTCCCAGGACACAGCTTCTCGGAAGGTTAGTTACCAGAAGGCTCCCTGTGATCTGACAGCCCATATGTCTCATGACATTGGGCCTACCTATTTCTTTCTAGAGAATTCTAGGCAACACTGCAGCCTGCCCCATGCAGTGTGAAGTTTCCAGAGAACTGGCAAACTGCCCAAGTTTCCTCAGAAAATTGGGGGAGCGTGGAGCCAGGCAATTGTTTTATACTTTGAGCTACTTACTTCCTTCCTGTACCCATGGAGGGACACAGAGAGTGCATTTGTGTACCTTGGAAGTTTTAAGACTTGCAGAGACTGTCCTGTTTCAGGTGAAAATTTCTTAAATTCTACTAGAAAATAGCACACTAATTATTGCCAACAAAGCTCAGTTTCAGATTTCTATAAGAGAGGCTCATTTCCCCAAAAGTTGAAATTATATGAACTAATTAGCTTCTTGGTTAAAAAAAAGTCATCACATGTCTTACAATTGGTTTCCTTGGTTATTATTGAACAACCATGGTGTGCCCCTGTGCTGAGTACTAAAGGGAGTTAAAAATGAACATGACCAGATCCCAAATTCACAATCCAGCCTGGGAGTGAGACATACACAAATAGCTCTAAAAGAGAATTCAGGGAAATTACTCTTTAGGAGATTCAGTGACGTTGTAGAATACTATTCCTGAGAGCAAAGGATGAAGGTACTCAAAGTTTAACAATTCTATGGAATGTTGGTTGTTTTTTTTGTTTTTTTAAACAAAACCCACCCAATCTATAAGTGCACTAAAAGCAAACAAGATTTGAAGAGAGACTGAGGTCACCAGGCTGTCTGTGAGTATAGGATGTGTGGCTTACCTGTGATATAAAAGCACATGGTTCTTTTCACAGTCCCTACTTTATTGGAAGCCATGCAACTGTAGATTCCAGAGATTCTAGCATCAGCCACAACCAAGGTGCTAGCCGTCTGCAAAAGAAAAGGAAATTTTAGCTAGCGATAGGGCAAAGCCAATCGAACATCCCTCTGATACTTCTGAAAGTTGAAATGATTCAGCCACCCCATTCATTCAGTGAACGTAGTATTGCACGGGGCTGATTACCAGAAGGCTCTCCCCTTGCCGAGCCCCAGCAAGAATGGAAAAATAACAGGAAAGCAGGTCCTCAGGAGACCGGGGGCTATGACATCCGACTCATATGAGGGCTTCAGGCTTATTTATCTCGTGCTGCTGGTGTAACAATTACAGACCTGAAGCTGAGATGCGGGACTGCACGTCCTACTCTGTGAGGTGGTCAGTTCCACATCAATGAGAGGAGCAGGTGAGGCCGAGGCCAGCTTTTGTTTGGATGACCTGAGACCATGGATGCCATTTGAGAACAGGAGCCTTTGCGGTTTGGGTCTGTCACGGGTGTGTTAAGTGAGCAAGGACACAAGAGAAAGGTTGGCTAAACCCTTTCTTATATGTGCTCAAAAAATGTGGCTTTGTGGCCCCAAGGGTACAGAGGGACAGGTGGGAAAGCTCACAGAGACCATCGCGTGTGTTTGTAAATGATTGCATTTCTCAGTCTGTCCATTCCTAATCTAGGAAGTGAAGGTGTAAGTTATGAATTAATACAGCATTGTTTCACTAGATTTTAGTGCTGCTATTTGACAAGTTAGCCCCTAAAGAAAACACTCGGAGTCAAATTTATATTAACTTGAAAGCACTTTGTAAACTGTGATGTCTCAAAAAGTAATGAAACACAAATGTATATAGCTTGAAGGCTTGCATTGCTAACTTCTATTAAAGACAAAAATTAGTAAAATGGAAAAATTGTTGAGTTCTAAAATTCAGCCTGAGCTTGCAAAAAATAACACAAGCTTACTATATATGAAAAAAATGAGAGAGCTTGTTTTAAATATTTAAAATTACAAAAGAAAATGTTGATCCAGTTACTTATAAATTATTGCCGCCTGTCTCCTGGGATACTAATAACTGGCCACAGGCTTTGAAATTATAGAGGCTACACTGATGCTTTCAGACTAATGGGGTGTCCTAGATGAAGTTCAGTGATTGAGTGACTCACAGGCTACAGTTCTACATAGGCTGAAGTGGGGCCCTGGACTTACTAAGATGGGGAACACAAATTCTACAAAGGCTCTTAACATTTTTCTGAGTTGCTAAGTAATATGCTAGGCTCTTATGTGCTCATATCCCTTTCAATAAATTAAGGTATTTCTGTCTTTAGTCTATTCCTAGTTATTTTGGTCAGCAAGTTCATTGCTCCAAGATCTCTGTAATTTTCACTATGATATAATGAATATTACAAGATGCTTCCTCTTCTGTGTGTTGGATCTGTTTAATTACACCTACCCATGTATCCTCTGTGTATCATTGAAATTATTGGAAATGGAAAGTGTCTGCAATGTGGTATTTTTCAATCTATTTAGCAGACACTTCCTGGGCGCTTATCAAGGCATTGCCCAGATGTGTTAGGGACCCAATCCCTGTTCTTAACAATGAAGGACTAGTTTAAGGTGGTAGAGAAGAATGTCCCTACTTGAAGATCAAGTGTATATTACTCTCTTTTGCAGAGGGACACTCACATGAAGGCAAATAAGCAGTGAATAGTACGGAGGAGAGGTCAGGTGTCTCTTTCTCTATTTTAATGATTAACCTTTATAAGAGGTGAGGAATTAAAAAAAATATGGATAGCCGTTTCCTTTGAATTATTGCACCCATCACTTAAGAATCAGGGAAGGGGCCTGCCGAGTGGCGCGTTGGTTAAGAGCTGGCTTGGGACGCCAGAGGACCCCGGTTTGGATCCCACATATGAGGGCCAGTGACACTGCCCTCTATAGCTAAGATGCTGAACAACAGCTCAACCTGGAGGTTGGCTGCTGTGAGTTGCCGACGGCATGGGCTGCAGTCCCCTGCTGCAGTGGGCTTCCATAAGCTACCATGTGTAGCCAGCAGCCAGCGTGAGTGGCCAGCAGCCGCCGTGAGTGGCCGTCCAGAGGCTGGCGACTGATCTGCCTCGCCCGGGAAGAGCGCAATGATGGTGCCAGCTTGGGCTAGTGAAGCAACGTCCTCCACAACTAGACTGAAGAACAAAACGACAGCAACTTGTCTGTTCTCCTTCCCCTGATTCCCCAGCACTGTTCCCCTCCCCCAACTCCCCAATAAAATCTTAAAAAAAAAAAAGAATCAGGGAAGAAAATGAAAGTAGTTAAAAGAGAAGCTTGTAGTTGGCAATGAGAAAGGAAGTGTCAGCTGGTGGCAGCTAGGAGGACAAAGTAAGACTCTGACTCCTTTATTTTGCCCCAGGAAACCCGGGCTCAGATGCTTCGGAGCAGCGTGCAACAGGTTCAGATGCAAGGGACACGGATGCAGGCCCCACAGCCCCACTCTCCCTGCCAGCCTCTCATATCAGGCACTGCTTCTCTTACGAAGTTAGCTGGCCAGTGTTTTTCCTAACGGGCCTCAGCAGAACCTTATTCATAGTCTCAGAATTATTGTTGCTCAAAAACTCCTTTCTGCTTTGCTTGAGAATGGCTGAAATTATGGACAGCAATACCCTGACTCTGAAAGTTGTTTTATTTCACTGAACTCAAAGCAACTGAGAACAAAAACCAGTTTCCTGGCAAGGGAAAGTCATCAGATGTACACCTTTGCCATACTTAAGACCTGTGCAGGCAATCTGGAAATGGCTGTAGCCATTTTACAAGACTCCAGCACAGCCAGAGAGTTCAGAAGTTTTGTGTAATCAGAATACAACTGAGGCACCTCGAAGTGAAATGAATCCAGGTCTCATGAGGGACAGTGGAGACAGGAATGCATTTGAGTCTCTTATTTTGCCTGAAAGACTCCCTCTAAAACAGACACCTTACTCATAGTCAAGCGTGCCCCAGACTCACCTCCAAAGTTCCTATTAAAATTGAACTAGATAGTGACATTGATGGAAGTTTACAGTATTTCTTTGGCTCTGGATACCTTTATGTAGCCCTTGCTATGCGCCAGATAGTGTGTGAGGCATTCTCTTATTTAATCTGCCCTATAACTTTATGAAGTAGCTGTATTACCCTATTCTACAGAGGAGACAACTGGGGTTAGAGAAATTAAGTGACTCACTCAACGGTACACTGAAGCACAGACGAACCTGGGCAGAACTTATGCGCAGGTTCTTAATCTCTACAAAACTGCTGCTTGCCTTAGGACCCTTTAATAGCACAGGTCTATCGGTAGAGTTCTGCCTACTCTTGAATTGGGCTTTTCCTCAAGAATACCCCTTTAGTCAGCAGGGATAGGTCACATAAGTTAAGTGCTACTATCTACAGAAACACTAGTTTCTTAATATTTTACATAAGCTGCAAACTATTTTTCAATGCATACGGTTTGGAAATATGATTGATGAATGAAAAAGTTATAATTAAAGAAGAAAAGTTAAAAATTAGATGAAACGTATCCTATGATCAACTTTATTAAAAATGATCTGATTTCTAGAGTACTCCTTTTTTCCACAGAATATTTTTAAATTATACATTAAAATATATTTTCATGAAAAACAAAATCTGCTTGACAAAGTAAAAGAAGCAGAAAAAAGGAGCTCAAGTGGGAGTTGGACGTGAGTATAATTCATCTGCACAGCAGACAACTTCTCATAGAACAGTAGGTCTCCTTACAGGAGTTCTCTGAGTAAAGGGGACAAATACGTCCCTTGGTGCTTGTAATCAAACAATATTGTTTCAAAGGAGAAAAAATGAAAATAGTTGGAACAGTTGGAACACCAAGTGTCATCAACTCAGTACTTTAAAAGAGAAAGTGCCAAGAATTTGAGTTGTAACCTGTGTTTGAAATGATATTTATTTTATAAGGTACACCAAAAATAATTCTCAAAGATGTATGCTTGAATTATTTCTGTAATTAGTTTTCCTTTGCCACAGTTCTTTTTTAGCTCTGAACCCACACTTTGGGGGTGCCTCTGCTTGCCCTGCCAGAACCTCAAGGATTTAGATATTAGAAACAGACCTTTGAAGTCCATTCTCTGGACTTATTTTTGTATGACTCAGCAACACTGATGAAAACTGTCATCAGGTACTGTAAGTTTGGAAGTTATTCATTCTCCTTCCTTCCTTCCCTTTCGCTAAGTATTAGTAATTCCCCACTACAATGTGGTTTGAACCTCACGGAATAGAATGGATGGGGTGATGTGTAATTCAGCCTAATTTCCAGGATTCGTTTTTTGTTTTGTTTTTTAAATCTATATATGGAATAGTGATTTTAATCTCGGCATGTTTCTAATACAGGTTCCTTTTAAGTGTCTCAGGAAGAAATAAAAGTAGATATGTAAAGGTCATGGAAAAATCTACAATTAACCCAGGGTGGCACATTTGAGCCAAGTGATGGAAAAATAGAACGTGAGATTTAGGAAAAATCGGGGTGTGTGGGAGGAATGAAACACAAGCTGTCATTCAGTGGTTAAGTATTAATGCTTCTGTCATGGCTTTGCCTTGCACTGTAAGCCTTTTTCCCAATGTAACCTCCAGACGATTTCAATGGAAATGTGGCTAACGTGGTCACGGCTTTCTAGCCTTCCTCCAGCCTTGATGCTGGAAGACGTATTTCCTGTGTTGTTTTTCTAACACAAGGCTCCTTCTACTTCCTATTCCATATCGACAGACCCAATAGCCTGACCGTCCCATTTAAACAATATGAAAACTCCACGTTTGCTATTAGCTACTCCATTGATGACTCACTTTTCACAAATCGAGGTCAAAACTTGCCAATAAGGAAATTGAATTTTATTGTCCTCTGCACCCTTCCTTGAACTACATGAAAAAAAAAACAAAGAAAAAAAAAGCAAGTCCCTGCAATCCAACAGATGCTCCCCAGGCCCTTCATTCACTGATGGGTGGGGTGATGTTGCTGGGTATGCCAGCTGGAGGGCTAAAGGGCAAAGCATCACTTCAGTCTTATGTTGGGACTTTACTTTCTAAAGATGTACAGAAAAGCGGTTTTAATTGTAAATGAAAGATCGTACAAGTAATTCTGAAGTAATGAAACCTCCGTTTGTCATTGTACAAAAAATAAAAATTTTCACACACAAAAAAAGTTGTATTAATAGTTGCTAAAAGTAAAAGCAGTAAATTTTTCTAAATTTAGGACATGAAATTAATAATTTACTTAAAATCTAATGTGTTATGGTTATAGCTGCTAATAGGATATTATATATGTATATACCGGGGGTGCCAAAAATACATATACAAGTGGACAATTTGGTCAACGTTGCTCAAGCAGTAGTTCGCCATAATCAGAAGTGTCTGGACGCTGATGGTAACCACTTTGAGCACCTCTTGTAATTGCAGAAGTCAAACGTGACTTGTATTCATCTTTTGTTATTGGTATGTATTGAGTATTACAATTTTAATACAGTGTTTCTTTTTAAAAATGTATATACATTTTTTGGCACCCTCTGTAGATATACATATATATAAATATATACATATATGCATGTGTGTGTGTGTGTGTGTGTGTGTGTGTGTGTATCTTTATAACAACAGGCAAACTAGGTAGGGCAAACATTATTAGCTCCAATTTTTAGAGGAGAGAACTCAGGTTCAGAGAGGTGAACTGTTTTGCATGTGGTTATACAAGATAGAAAGTGGCAGAGCTTGACCCCATGGCTCTGCACTGCATGTGGGATGGCACAAGTGCCAACTGTGTCTGGAGATCTAGATTGAAAGTCTCTGCATAAATAACTACAGAATTACAAGTCAATAAATATGTTTCAAGCCCATGTGGGAAAAAAATCCAGGAAGTTTCTTTATCGCACCAGGTTTTGTTACTCCGCTCCCACTGTTTCTGATGGGTATTCTACAATACATGGAGTTAGGTTGCTACTTGGTGGTTCACGCTAATCAGAAACCTCCCCTAGCTTTTTCATTTTCCATTTTCTTTTCTAGTGTATATTTTTGTAGACAGGTTACTAAAGCAGGACTAGAAGCTACCACAAATTAAGCTCATAGATTCTTGTTTCAATATCCAGCAGTTAACATCCACCTTTTATGGTCAGGAAAAGGCAAAATGAATTGACATAATCAATGGCATCTTGAAACGTTCTAGTACTTTGTGCCAACTAACTTGGTTTCTACTCTGAGGCAATTTCCTTTTTGAAAAAAAAATATAGCGTCACTCAAATTAAACTTTCAAGTTTATAGAATTTCCTCTTTCCTAAGTATTTCATTAAACTGCTCTCTCATCCATGCTACACATCGTGGAATGTTTTAAGCTCCTGTTCATTTGTATTACAGAAAAACTGTAAACCACCTACAGCTACTGCTAGTTATAAAAACGTTTCCTAAATCCTTGACCAGTGATTGCTGATATCATCACACCAGCCATCACCGTCTTAACTAATTTCTGTATTGTCTTAGTTGGCAGAGTACTCAGTTTTGGAATAGGAAGAGTTTGGTTTGAGTTTCTCATTTGCCACTTGGCATTAATCATCTCATCGCCCCAGTTTTTCTTATCTTTAAAATGGAGATAAGTGCTTTGGCCTGCCAGAGAATGACGCTGACATTAGCATATGTCAAAAAGTTTTACATGATGAAGAATTCAGATGTTATTTGTTGTTATTGTTAAATCCTACACGGAGAGTGATTGCCATCTACTTTGTTGCTTTCAAATGCAAGGAATACAGCTGAATACATAGACAACATAGGCATATCCACATTCAAATGGACAGCATCCGTATTAATGTAGTACTCCTATTCAATACTTGCATGTAGAGACGTTTCAGCAAGGGGTTATTTGATATATATTTTTTTCATTTTTAAAGCAACACTACCCTGTGCCTGATAATAGCATATTTTTAAGTGTATTTTTCACTAATTCAACAGAAAAAAATGAATGCCACCAAGTCTGAGAGCCACCAATTTTTGCCTGATTCACAATGTGTCAGCTTTGCTGAGGCTCAGTAGAGGTCAGGGGAGTAGAGAATGAATGGTATAAGGGTGGCAGAAAAGATGCCAGCTAGACCCTGCTTAGGTGTGTGTGTGTGGGGAAGTCTCTCTCTGTTATTTTAAATTGAGGTATAATTGACATATAACATTATATTCATTTTAGGTATATAACATAATGGTTTGATATTGGTATATATTGCAAAATGACCACCATAATAAGGTAGTTAACATCCGTCACCATATGAAGTTACAGTTTTTTTCCTTGTGATGAGCACTTTTAAGATCTATCCTCTTAGCAACTTTCAAATATGCAACAGTGTTATTATTGACTATAATCACCACGCTCTATATCTGATTATTTATTTTATAACCGGAAGTTTGACCACCTTCACCCATTTTGCCCACTGTCACCCTCTGCTTCCAATCTGTTCTTTGTATCTGTGACTTTGTTTCTTAGATTCCACATACAGGTTTTCATATGGTATTTGTCTTTCTCTGTCTGACTTATTTCACTTAGCATAATGCCCTGAGGGTCCATCCATGTTGTCAAAAATGGTAAGATTTTATTCATTTTTATGGCTGAATAATATTCCATTATGTATAATACACACCATATTTTCTTTATCCACTTATCTACCTAGGTTGTTACCATGTCTTGGTTATTGTAAATAATGCTGCAGTGAACATAGGGGTGCATGTATCTTTTCGAGTTTGTGTTTTCTTTTTCTTCGAATAAATACCCAGGAGTGGAATTGCTGGGTCATAAGGTAGTTCTATTGTTAATTTTTTTGAGGAAGTTCCATACCGTTTTCCATAGGGGCTGCACCAATTTATAATCCCACCAACAGTGCATGAGGGTTCCCTTTTCTCCACATCCTCGCCAACACTTGTTATTTCTTATCTTTTTGATAATAGCCATTCTGATAGGTGTGAGGTAGTATCTCCTTGTGGTTTTGATTTGCATATCTTAGGTCAGGGAATCTTGAGATGCTGTGTGTGGTTGTACACACCAGTGCAGTCAGGGTGCAAAGGCAGAAGGAAAACAAGGTATTTTGTGCAATGGAAACATTCCATTTTAGCCGTATGCCTTTACTAGCTTTTGCTCTCCAGGGGAGCTTTTATGAACCCTGGGCCCCACCCAGAGATTCAAATATAATAATAAACAGGAGAGTATTGTAATGTGCAGCCAGGGCTGAGAACCACTGATGTGACCAGGTTCACGTTCAAGAGGTAGCTTCATCTCTTCCGTTGGGACCAAGTGCTCGTTACTGTGGAACTGGTGGTCAGGGGTAGAATACTGCAGTTTGAGTAGTCTGAGTGCATCCCTCCATGAAGACATATCTCAGGTACTGTCTTTCTTCTCTCTGAATTTTTATTTGAGCACTTGAATTACTTATGATTCTAATAAACCCAGAATTGGGAGCTCGGTGTGTGTTTTTTAGAATAAATATCCCAATGGTTATTTTCACAAAGAATACCTTATTCTTTCCTTCTATTACTGCTGTACGCTGAGTGATGCTCTCAATTCTGTTTCCTATGTTGCTGTCAGGATCCAGGATAAAGGACTCTTCATTACTGGAGCAAAAGTCATACCTATTTAAAAAAAAAGTAAGTCATCATTATGTTGTTTTGCAGCATGGTCCTGCCCATGGTGACAGGTGCAATGAAAATCACTGGATAAGTCCTTGGGTAACAAAGGCACACATTTTTTTGTTTCCCTTAGATCTTTTTCCCCAATATCCATCCTCTGAACTTAAAGATAACAAATATATTTTGCCTGATCTGGAAAAAAACCCACTCACTTAAAGATAACAAATATATTTTTCCTGATCTGGAAAAAACCATACCAGTGTATCTCCATACATCCTTCATGTTCTAAATATTAAATATGAAATAAAAATACGTAAATTAGAAAATTTACTATCTAGATTTTAATTAGTTCCTGGTGGAGGTAACATGCAAACACAGGAAAAAAAAGTGAAGTTATGTTGATGAATGGAAAACCCCAAGGAAATAAGAATTTCACATCTAAAAAGGCTGGCTTTTAATCAGAAATAATAATCCATTATGCAGCTAATTTTTTCGAGGGCTAATTAGGTGTATATGGAAATACATCATGGAGCAGTTGCTAAGTTCGATCTATTCCTTTTCAAGTTTTGTGGTATCATGGCAAGTTCTTTAATTTCTCAGGCCTCAAGTGTTTAATTATAAAATAAGGGTGTTGAAGTTTTTTATCTTTAAGGTCTCTTTTGTTTTGAAAAGTTCACAAAAGTCTTTCTGATTTTAAACTAATTACCAGACTGCCATTTTAAAGAGAGATTTTGACCTAAATCTGGAAGGTAGCATGTTCTCTCAGACACACATCATTATCAGTAAGCTTCTATTTTCATATGGCTTACTACTGAAATCATTGGTGTACATATTTATTGATCATTTATTATATTTTATGTATCCTATGTTCTACACAAATAAAAAACCCAAACAACAAAAAGACACGTAAGTCCACTCTGACCTGGGCAGTGCAGTAGTATCTTAACTGGCCTTGCTACCAGCTGGCTTTTCCCACTCCTCCAACACCCACAAAACTGCAGCCAGATCAACCCTCTGACCATTCAGGTTTATAATGGAATCCTTTTTGCTCCAGGAGCTTCAACTGTACTGAAGAAAGCCCAGGCTTCCTTGTCTGACAGTCAAGGCCATCCACAGTCCATTCTCTCTTCTCTCCTTAACCCTACAGAAGCCCTTCTTTCTAGTCACACTGTGGTTTGGTCGGGCTAGTTCCAAGATTACTGGACCAGGAGTGTGAGGGGACCTGGTCCCAGCCTTGCCCTGACTTCTAGCAGTATGACAACTTTTCTCTTCTAAAAAATAAGGATAAAAGTGTATCTGCCGTGTTATTCTCTCAGGATTAGAAAGGTTTTGTGGATTAACGATGCCATAGAAAAGGGATTATTCTTACTGTCGTGTCTTACTGTCTGCCATATGCACCCTGACCCTCCGTCTCCACTCAGCAGTTAGCTCTGACGGGACACCCTGATCTTCTCTAAGCAGCTCAGTGATCACTGTGAACCTCACCGCTTCCTCTCACGGTTGGAACCCCTCAGTGAGCCTGCAGCAAGTCCGCCTTGAACAAGTCCTTGAGATTTACATATGGATTTATTTGAGATGCAATGCAGATATACAGAGAGATATTTTAGGTTCCTCAAAATGTATCTGTGAGCTCCCAAGGCTTGGTTTTTCTGCCAGCCTGGGCAGGTAGGGAGACATGAGTGCCCGTAGAAGCCTGGCTTGTGCACCTCGAGTGCTTCTCGGCCACATCTTCCATTTCCTGATTACCTAAGTGTTGAATGTTATGATTACTTGCCATGAGCATTTCATTGTAACACTTTATATTGTTACCTGCTGGACTGGAATTTGTGGGGAGCAGAAAGCTTGCTGGCCTCTCATTTGTACATGTCTTGGGCAGATTCTGGAGATTTTGAAATCAAGAGGAACTTTAAAGTCAATTTCCAGAAGGAATGAGTGGTTGACCTTAAATGGCTGAGGGCAGCAATGACTTCTGTCAGACGGAGGTGAGAGGATAAAATAAGTGAGAAAGAAGGGAAGACAGCAGGGACTGCAGTGCTCAGAAGATTATCACTCTCTGGTCCTGGAGCTAAGGAAGGACTCGCGAATAGGAAACTATGGCCGCTTCCGGTCAGTGCCCACTCCTGGGCACTGCCCTGTAAGCCCTCCCCCACAGCACGCCCCACTTTCTAAGTTTCCATTTAATGCTCCCCAGGCCCCACATGGGGCCTCATGTACTTATTCACTCTGTCCTCATAGTTAAGCAAGGGCCTAGCAGGTAACTGGCACTGCATAAACGTGTAAAGGCGAGAGGTACTGAGCTGTTGTTTCTAATAAGAGTTTTCGTTTGTTTGTTATTTTCAAACATACTGATAGAGACATGTTGTCGTAATCCCCCATAGACACATCACCCAGATTTAACAGTTAATCAAGATCTTGCCACATTTGTGTCACTATCCGTCATTCCTTTTTATTTTTTCTTCTGTGAAGTGTTTTAAAGCAAATCCCAGACATCATGTCATTTTTGCCCTACATATTTCTGTGCATATCTCAAAAAATATGCCATTTTCTAGTATAACAACCTGACATCTACTAGAATTCGCAGTAATTCCTTGGCGGTGTTTGTACCCGGCCTATATATCAGATTCCCCGAAATGTTTTTAAAATGTCTGTTTTTATAATTAGATTCTAAGATTTAAAATTTTAAAAAGGATTAATATGGAGTGACCCCTCCTTAAGGAATTTCTGTGATTTCTACTAGCTACTCTAATTTATGATCATCATTAAATTAAAATTAGTGAACATTTGAACTATTGATTAGTAGAGAAAAATGAACCAGAGAAGTTACACACTTTCTCCTTTACTTGAGGCATTTTAATGTTTTAAAATCATGATATCATTTTACCCTGTTTTTCATTATTTCTTATTCTCCATTTTCTTGACTACAACATCCACACCTTGAACTACTATTTGACCTTCCATCTTTCACACACACTCAGTCCATATACGAGTATATATATGTACATCTACATTACAGGTATGTGGGGGCTATGACATGTGTACACCTCATACACATGTGCATTCCTATCTTAGACCTGTGCATGTGTACTTGCTATTGTAACATCAAACAGCTGACATGCTCTTGTATCTGAAAGAGAAACCTTTAATTTCATTCTTTTCTCCCCAAAGAAGTGAAAAAGATAAGGGAAGTCTGAGATGAAGATCTTAGTTTCATACTCGCAAAGAGTATGTTAGAGTAAAGCAAGTCTAGGAGTTTCCCGAGGGAACTGCAGTCTGCAAGTTCACATGGGGCTGCCAGCCTCTGACCCCGACCCTGGCCCATCAGCCCAAGGGCAATTACTGACAGCACAAGCCCAGTATGGCAACTATAGGCTAGACTATCGCAGGGTCCTCCAAGCGAAAAGGACAGATTCTGTGGCTGTTTTCTAATTTGGGGACTGTTATTTTTCCCTCTTTGTAATTGGAACCATAAAAATAGAATGTCATTTAGGAGCCTGACTCTACCAGCACTTGAAAAGAGATTTAGGGGGAGGGGAGTTTGCCTAAGCCTTAAGAATACATCAAGCTCTCAAGGAAGTAAATTGTGCCATGTTTGAAGATGCAAAGATAATCACTGTGCTGGGAACCGTCTTGAGGGGGGAGGAAGCCGAACAACAAGAGGAAAGCGGCTTTCGCCCCTGATTTCGCACAGGAAGCCCACAGCACCTCCTGCCAAAGGGAGATAAGAAAGCTCCCAGGCACTATTCTGGACAAGGCCACTGTTATCAGCCTCAGCTCCATGCTGTCCTCTCTCTGCTCCAGGCCTCTGTCCCTTTTCTAATGAGCTTTAGGACTCCGACCTCCATTTGCATGCCGCATGCCAAGTACAATAGCAGAGAAGTATTTATAACCATTGAGGAAAAAAAATTTCCGGAGTAAGAGTGTACTCCATGTCATATCATCGATTGCCCTGGAGTTGAAACAAATTCATTTTGGACTAGAGATTTATATAAATAAATTAAAAGAAAGCAGCCAGTTACGTATCTGACACATGGAGCTGGGACCCTGCATGTGACGCATCAGTCTCTTTACCTCCAAGCAGGAGTCCTCTAGGGGGCTCTCCCGTGTGGTCTAAGTCACCAGACTTCTTCCCTCAACTCCTAATGAAAAATCATCACCCTCCATAGATGCAGGTGACATCACTGACCTGCATGCTCTGGGATGATTTTCCTGTACTGGTGATGAATTTGCCCCGTTCCCTTCACACTCATAAATAGTTCGTTCCTTTGTGACCACAGACAGATGAAGGCAGTCTGGGGCCACAGAAAAAGGCAAAGCCAACACCGGATCAGACCTACAATCTTGACAATATTAACTGCTGGTCCCAACAGGAAAGCTAACCAGCCGTGGGCTATAATAATTGCAATATATACTATGCAGTATTATTCTCTGCTCTGATAAGGATTATATTTTCTGTGTGCTGGGCAACTCATATATACTATCTCATTAATCTGTACGACACCCTAAAAAGTAAGTACTCTCATCCCCCATTTAAGGGAAACGGAAATTAAGGATTAGAGAGGTTAAGTAAATTACCCAAGGCTTATAATCAGTTCTGGCTCATTCCAGAATCTGTGCACTTAACCCTTCCACCATATGTCACATAATATCCATGCACTATCAGCATATAACAAGAAATTGTTATACTTCAGTGCTTTGTATATAGAAGAAACGGCTTCCCACATATTCACTATACAAAATATCGTTAGTGCAATGGAGATTTAAGTCTTTTTGGCCCTTTTTGCATAGCACAGTCAGATTCTTTCCAACATTTGGCAAACCACTCTCATCATACACAACCAAATGTACTGAGTGTCCGATGTATGCATGTGCTACAGTTAATTTATATTAGAGTTCACTCTGTCGTCCCAGTTTCTGAACTCAACTCCCAGGCACCTTTACAAATCCAGCACAGGAAATACAATGCACAGTGTGCACCCAAAGGGACCCTTTTGTGTTCCCCTGTG